AACATGTTATCAACTTAACAATACATCAAAGATTTCACTTACTATATTTTTTTCCCCTTTCTTTCCCACAATATTTTAAAACAGCACCTAAGTAAGATGTGCTGAGTTAGCAACTATGGCAGAACGAATGTGAAGAATCATGATTCCTGCTATTAACGGCATCACTGTATATTTGGAGAGTCAAAACATACAAGGCAGGATATGGTAAATACCACTGCAAAATTGTTCTAAGCAAAATGAATTAGAGAGCCCATGCTGGTTATTTAGGAATATGGTCATTCATATCTAGAGAGTTTTTCTGTCAGAATAAAGAAGACCTAAATTCAAAACTGCTTGAAATGTGTTTATTATTTTAAGTAAAATATACTTAGAGACAGAGTAGTGAATTGACATAGGGTCAATTCAAAAACACCTGATTGAATCCCTGGCCGTAACTATGTTGGTAAAATTAAATGAACAGATGAAATTATCTTTGCATTTTTTCAAAACAGGCATGCACTATGTACAGTTTCGGTAAAATCAAATACGTATTCATAATGGTTTAAGATTTTATCCTGCCCTAAAATTTCATGATTCTATACTTACAACTCCCAAAAGAAATGGGCAGTTAATTTTTCCCACTTTATTTCTCTTCTTTTCATAAAAGATAAATCTCTGTTTTTTGCCCTGCTTTATCAAGGTATAATTGACAAACAAAAATTCTATATATATATATGGTGTACATATATATACATATAAGATGATGTTTGGTATATGTATACATTGTGAAATAATTAAATCTAACTAATTAACATAATCACCTTGCATACTTATCTTTTTCGTGAGAAAGTTCTGTTCATGAAAGTCTTATCTCTTTAAAAAATCTAGACATATACAAATACCAAAAAGAGAATCTTTCATATAATTAAAAATAATTCTGAAAATATAATTGATAGTAATATCCTTCATAAAGCTCTGTAAAAAGGAGATGCTCAACAAAAACTGTTGGTATAATTTGATTTTTAAAAGTATTTTTAAGTGAAATGATATAAAGGATTTGAAGCTACTCAATAATAAAACTTATCTATCACAAGACATCAAATTTTTTTTTTTTTTTGTCCTTTTTGAGACCAGCCGCACCGCGCTCAGCCAGTGAGCGTTGTGAGCGCACCGGTCGTCCCTATATAGGATCCGAACCCGTGGCGGGAGCGCTGCTGTGCTCCCAGTGCAGTACTCTCCCAAGTGCGCCACGGGCTCGGCCCTCAAGACATCAAATTTTTAATAACCTTATTAAGGAACGATAGCCCTGTATAATTCAATTGGCTTCTTTCATTAGGATAAGAATCACAATGGTAATTTCCGAAGTTGTGATTTATTCTAGAATAACTATATCAGAGGTAAAGAGGGAGAAGGTATGTTTGGAATTCCCAAATAATTTCA